AAAAGAAATTTCAAGGTTTGATTCGATTCTCCTTCATCAGGAGAATAGGGATTGAGCAAGTTACAAGGGGACGTTCTATCAGAGCAAGTTCCTTCTGTGGAAGTGCCTGTTCCAAAGAGAAATGGGTTTTACCTGGTTATCTTTTCGTTGCAAAGCCTGTGTTCCTGTTTCTTTTGGAGAATGTGTGGCCCTCCTCTCTTAACCCATATGAGAAGCCACAGGAAACCACACTGAGGTTCACTCTGTCATAAGTGTGTGCCTTCCTTTCAGAAATGTTTAGGAAAGAATTGGTTTACTTGGAGTTTAATAACGCAGCGATTAGTTTGCAGGTGTTCCTTATTAAACAATGTTTAAAATGTACATGCTGTGGTTTATGCTGCATGACTACCTAACAGAAATAAATAAGAGTGATAAGAACAGCATTACATTTGGATATTGCCTAATTTTCAAATAAAGGTTGATTCCCTAGAAATGAAATAAGTAAATACACATGTGATGGTGATTCTCCTATAATCCCATCTCGGTTTATAAGGAAACAGAATGAGAATTAGAAAGTTTAGGACATCTCTCTCAGAAATCAAGGTGGGGTGTGCGTTTATATGTTTGATGGAGGTAATAATTCAGGGCACTTTCAGGAACTATAATTTCCAATGATATTGGAGTTTATTCCTTTACCAAACAATTGTTACCTTTAGTGTAAGGCACTGCTCTAGTAATTGTGTGGAATGCAAGGAGGTGAAAGACACGGGCTGTGATTTCCAGTGACTATCACTTGCCCAGAGAGAGAAATATCTGTTGATTGTGATACCACCTGGGGGCTAATGTAAAATTCTTTCTTTTTCTCCATGAATCTAAATAACTCTTTAGCAGTCCTACACAATTCCAAAGTAAATGTTAAATAGTAATAAGCCATATGAGGGGTCCTTAAAAGTGCAAAATTTGGACAAAGAGAATTTTATACCTTGGGACTGGTAATGTTGGAAGGCTATGCATCTGGTTTCCCTTTTATTTGCAATCTATATTTAAAAAAGAACTACATTATTTACTCTAGGGTCATTGAGCTTTAAATGTGGATTTTTGTAATTGAAAGAGATTATTTAATCCAATCCTTATTATAGATGAGAGAACTGAAAGTGACAGAAACAGGTGAAATTCAGATGTCCCAATACCTGCTCTTGGGTACTTTCTCCAGTGTGCCATGGCGTCTCAAAGTGTGTGTGTGTGTTTATATTTGGTTTGAAACCCTCTCATACCCTGGAGCTGAGCAGCAATTACTCATAAATTTTTGACATTTAAATTTCTGATTTAAAAATTCTATTTACTGTCATTCATATTTAATCAGTATCTCTCAGATGACTGCTCTCAAATTTTAAACCTGGGATTGATTATAGGTCCCAGGGGGCATTCAGAAAAGTGAATTTGCATCTTCTCTTTAGAGAATTCTTGAAAAGTATAGATAAGCTTGACAAAATTACAATTCATCTATCTTTAGTTAGACATTTTAATCTCGGCTGAGCCTAATATGCTCCTCTAATTATAGTGATATATTTTCCAAATTACAATGCAAGACACATGGCCCAACACATGGCCCTGGAATTCTGGATGTTTGGTACAGTAATACTTGCTTAATGGCAAGAGAAATTATGCTCCGGAGCACAGGAAAAATCAAGTGTTTCTCTTGGTAAGCTATTCCCAAAATATCCTACCTAGTTTCTCACAATTTCTGTGCTCAGCTAATTATAAAATTTAAAAAACACACAAAACTTTTAAAATACCAAATGGAATTAACGTTCATTATAGAAAACAACCAGGGAATATAAATGAGCAAAATAAGAAAACACTGAACAAATAATTATTATAAAATTCTTTGATGCAAAGGAAGGGGTGTTTTAATTTAAAATGCTTCCCATACTTTCACAATCAAATCCCACTCTTCCTTGTTGACAACTAAAAATACCCAAACACTAAAAAAATAAAAATCCGAATTTAGAGCCACCGAGTGAAAACTTCTCCGTCCTTCCTGAACGCTGCCTGAGTTTTAGGAATCTGTACAATAAACATGAAATCGGTCACCTGACCGCTCCCCCCTCCCCCCCTT